TACTGATCGGGCAACGAGAAAAGCCTTCTGCTGGCTGCAAAGGGGGAGAGCCGGGGCATGGCGTTATAGGGACGGCAGTTTGCACTTAAGCCTGTGGAGTAGAGCACCATGAAGCAGTGGCTGTGACATAATGGCGCTGTTATGTATGTCAGGCGCTTATTTTCAAAAGCCGCGAATACACCAGGCTGTGTTTAATACAAGCATGCAACAGTTTGGCTATTTGCCCACGGCCCCATGGCCCCACGGTTGCTTCGGTGGCTTGATGTTATCTGGCTGATTGATTCATATCCAGGAAAGGAAATGACGCCTATGGCTTTAGCCTTAAGGCACTTAATCACACAGGCTTGAGGCTAATATGCCCTCTAGCGTGATTACGAGCCGAAAGGTAGGTATAGATATTGAATTGTGGGCAAGGGCTATGTAGCGGTCTATACTCAATACTGCATCCCTTGCAGAGGGATTAGTAATGCTGAGCCATAGTGGCAAAGCAGAGAGTTTTTAGACTCTCCCTCAAGTTCATTTTTGAGTCCTATAACTGTAGACCAATAAAGTATCCTGGATACCAGCATTATCATACATAAGAAATTGGTTTAAATCTTGAGTAAATGAGGAAATTAAAAATGAACTGATTCTAAAAAAGCTCAGGTTTGCCACTATGATGCTGACACCGGAAGCAGAATAGGTTTCTGAGCAGTCGGATGATATTGATGCTCCATCCCCTTGTTCTTTTTTCTTACGTTCAGCTTTGGGCTTGGGCATTCTGCTGGTTTTTTGTACAAACAAGGTACTCCAAATAGGTGCCCGTCTCAAAATTAAGACTCTTTTCTATTTATTCACAGACTCCAAAAGGTACTCACTCTATCCTATACACACGTCCATAGTCGACCGAAACTCGAACCACGATTCGCCGTCTGAGTCCAAGATTTCAGAGAGACGGACCGATTTTGCCTTCGTTTGCGAGTTGTACGGATATACGGAGAAACGACCGGCATTTCTCAAGCCGATTTTTGAACTTGCATAGACCAAGAGCCATATACGTAAAGCCGTATATTTTTTTTAATTGGGGGTTAAAACTTGTGGCGACAAAAGCGCCCAACAGCCTGAATTCTCTGTCAGAAGTAAAGCCGTATAACTCGCAAACGAATGCAAAATCGAAAACATTGTAAGCACGTCTCGGACAAATTTACGGCCGTATTTGCGGCCGGTCTCGCGGCCGGACTCTGTACCTGAAATATCACCCAAAGTACTGAACTTAGCTCAATGAAACTTGGTACACATATGCATTATGGCCTAACGGTGATGTCAAGCTCGTGACAATTTTTTTACTATCGCCTTCATTCGTGAGTTATATGATGAAACGTGCCGAAATTTGCAGTGTACCAGAGATTTCTTCTAAAATACTGAACAGATATGAATGAAACTTTGCTTATAGAAACCTAACCTCCCAACAAAGATGTTTAGCTCGAAACAATTTTTTCGATTTCCGCTCCCCCACCTTGCTGCAGATAATCAGGTTAGGTTAGGTCCGAAATTGTTTGTTTGGGTGGAGAGTTGGGGCTGGTGTGGAGGAGGCGCATGCTGGGGTGTTGTCTCCGCGGAGATTATATTTGGCTGGAGCAGTTGCTGCTGGCGTACGGCGCCTATGGCTCTAAGAGCTGGTGCTCTAAGTCTGGAGGCTAATCCACTCATTAGCATGCTTGTGCTCGGGAAAAATATAAAAGTGATGACCGTATTTGGCAATGCTGGCCCCTAACATGCAACCCGATTCTTGAACAAGCAACCATCTTTCCGATTTTGATCTTAATTTTCGCAGCCACAGCCTAGCTAGCTGTTCTTAAACCTCCATTTCGCCGTCCCAATCTTGTTGATCTTAACCACTCAGCCGCCCAAAGCATATAATGTAACTTGTGTATAAATGTTGACGTTGAAATGCTTAGCGGAGGGCTAAGACCATTTATAATCAGTTGTGCCATAACAAGATAAACTCCGATTTTAGACACCAGGTCAAAGATACCTCGAGTGGGCTTTATCATTCGAAAGCAAAAAAATGGTTAAATTATATCCATTCATGACACTGAAAACATATAGAATTTTGTTGGAAACCAGCAATATTCCGTCGGAAATAGAAAGAATTATGAGAAAAGACTGAAACTATAAAGACTCGATAAGTATTGAAGGGAATTAAGAATATTCAAAGATTATATCACATTTTATTAAATGAGATGCACACAGTCTCTCACAAAAATGTACTCTATATATTCGTTAGCGCGTCTTTTCCATGGATGTTGAAGAAGCCTTCAATTTTTCAACGTCAATTAAGGTTGGCAATGGAGCTTATTGTGTTACTCACCCATTGTTAACCTTGAAAATGAATCAATTGTTAACCTTGAAAATGAATCAATTGCAACCAACCCTCGAACTAAGGGATTCTCTTAAAACTAAAATCAAGAGAGACTGAAAAAAACTCAAATAAGGTTAAGTGACAAATCCAATGATTGGCACAATGAACTAATATGGCGGAACATTATAACCCACATATTTAACTCTCAAGGAAATAAGTTCTAGCAAATTAGAAGAATGCTAAGTAGGCACAGAAATGCAGTAGGCAAATCAAGTACCGCGAAGTATACGCACAAATAGGAATATGAATTGCGCACAGCTTAGCTCAAATTGTATAAAAATAAGGAACTCGGTCTACCAATACCCAGACGAGAAAGTAAAATCAATAGAGGAGGGGCGAGTATAGGCGGGGACAGTACAATAACGAGTTATACTGCGGGAGTTTCGATGGGGTAGCGATGTATCGATACTCACTCGTATATATTCTATCGTACATATTCCATCGTATATACTCCATCGTACATATTCCATCGTATATACTCTATCGTACATACTCCATCGTCGAAAGGAAAGTAGTGAGAGTATAGATGAGAGTCTTTGAACGACGAACTTTGTCAATAATTACAATGTAATAAAGTTGATGATTATCGTACATATTCCATCGAATTTACTCTATCGTATATACTCTATCGTATATATTCCATCGTATATACTCTACCGTATATACTCCATCGTCAAAAGGAAAATAGTGATTCCATCGTATATACTCTACCGTATATACTCCATCGTCAAAAGGAAAATAGTGAGAGTATAGATGAGAGTCTTTAAACGACGAACTTTGTCAATAATTTCAATGTAATAAAGTTGATGATGTTAGTATAGCATTTTCTTTACTGCTTTGGAAGACAATTGGCATTGTATGTTTTAAATATCTTTCTCTCTAACTCCATGTCAGGGTCATTGGAACCCTTGAGATACTGTATGACGATACCAGTGCCAAGCATCAAAGAATAAACTGCAAAACACACGTACAATACGACAGCCATTCATACTAAACAAGTATGAGCTTCTAATTACCAGATATTTTATGCACTACCAACTACACGTTTATATGACAATGAATATATATTGCAACTCTAACAGTTAGTACAACATTCCGATCAACTGGACAACCAGCGTCCAAAAATAATGGGTAATTCTAACACAGCGGGCCAGACAAGCAGCGATATGCAAATCAGAAGCGGTTATAAAGCCCGAACGAGGGCATGACGTATAGAATCACTCCTGATTATCAATTGAAATATTTCAACACAAGCAGACGCAGCACAGGCAACAGGCTAACAACTACTCGGAACTACAAACAACGGCAGATATTATATATGAACTGTTGGCGGCTCAAGATTTGAAATAAGATCACAGATGAAGAGTCTTGCATAACCATAGGTCGAAAAAATAGCGCCAAGCCAACAGTGACTAAAAAAATCTAAAATAGTATGCAGTCACATCTACGACTGACTTGCGGCAACTCACCTCGAAGGTGAACTGTGACAAAAATACTGAAGCGTCATAAAGAATATGACAGAAGTACCAGATAGAGTAGCAATATTCTGTTATTTTTTTTATTGTAACCAAACACAAGTTCAAAAACAATGATTTTTCAAAGTAAAGAATGATAAACGGTTAGAATTGCAGAAATATGCACAGAAAATTCAAACCCAAACTCATTTGTAAATTTTCAACAATATTCTCCAAAGACCAGGAACTAAATTCGAAATTTGAACATCAATTGTGAAACTCGAGATTTTATATATCTGAATACTGAGAAACTTTGCTTACGCGTAAGTCTACGCGTAAGCGTAAGTCTACGACCTCTTAAATGACTGTCGGTAGTAGCATAACGTATCACCGAAATATTTAACCTAATATTCTACATTGAATCTAGCATTAAATTCAATTCCAGCATCAGACATTCTACATTGAATACCTGTTGATGTCTAACGCAGATATTGTATATATAGCGCTATCGATTTAACAATTTTTCACATTTTTAAAATAAACTGATCTGAAATGTATTCAATTTACATTACAAATCACGGATAGTGATCGTTATAGCTGTAAATTATTTATTATACCTAATAATAAATGAAAATGTCTTCGCATGATTATTTAGTCAATAGAATCCACAAGCTATGAAAGAGATCAGTTGATGTTCTTAATACATCTAATGTTTATATAATTAAGCTATCGTACAGATCATTATAGTGACGATGATCATGATTAATATAATGATGATAATGAAGGAATGCTACTCGTATTTCAAACGAACCTCAACATTTTGTTTTTCGTACCATTAAGAACCATCGGTAGTTCTGAAAATACTCAAATTTCTTCTTTAGAAATAAAGTAATTGTAATCCGTTACATTTATAAGTCGCATAAAAGACAATTGAAATGGAAATTTAAAAATCAAGTAGCATAAAAGATTATTGAAATGGGAATTTGAAAATCGCTTCGAAGATGAAGCGCACTGTACAATAATTTCAGTATTAGTCCTGCGCATTATACTCGTTTGTTTCAACAAAACGGCATCTATGACACCGGGTCTTGAGTGTAGTACATATGCTCACAAATAAAATTATTCTATAGATGTGTTGATCAACTGGTAGATATTCGTAGATATACTTGGAATACACTTGTAGAGTTGCACTAGAGACAAGCAGTACCGCTAGTAACGATATAACGATGAGCGCGACCACGCAGTGGAGAGCTCACATCTTGTCCATCACGTTCGCCGTTTGATGCTTGAGCACCTATCTATGACACCGGGTCTTGAGTGTAGTACATATGCACACAAATAAAATTATTCTATAGATGTGTTGATCAACTGGTAGATATTCGTAGATATACACTGTTAGAAAAATTACCGTTAACGGTGTTACCGGCGTTTCAGTGGCCGGTCGGCACGTGAAAAGAAACACCGTGTTGTCGTTTTTATTCTAATTTAACATTACAAATCCGTAAAAGATCTGATAAAAACGGCGAAACAGTTCATTTTCACGGGGCGACCGGCCACTAGAACGACAGTGGGACCGTTTTTTCACCGTTTTTTTCTAACAGTGTACTTGGAATACACTTGCAGAGTTGCACTAGAGACAAGCAGTACCGCTAGTAACAATATAACGATGAGCGCGACCACGCAGTGGAGAGCTCACATCTTGTCCATCACGTTCGCCGTTTGATGCTTGAGCACCACTGCAACAAAATAACATAACATTTATTATTAAAAACAAATTACAATCAACGCACGAAACGTTCGTGCAATACTTAAAATAAATTCTCTTCTTATTCATACCTTCACATGTTGATGACAACCTAGGCTACTCAGACCCCAAGTACGGGAGTGAAACATAAAGGGCATTGAAGCAAGCATTACTCACGTTTTCAGTTCGAAAAAAAGATGAAACAAAAACATATTTCTTGTCGACAACCAAGTATACATAACTAACTAACTTACTTTCAACATAGATGATAAAAGCGGATATAAAGATCATTATGATGACTGCCACCATGACGGTAATATTGAAGATGGCGCTGCAGGTGCAATCGAAGTTCTTCTTCTTCCTGACAGGCTGGTAGTTGTCGAGAGCTGTGAAGGTCGGGGGCGGGTTCACCGATGAGCACACAGACACCGCATCAGCCTGTCGGACCAACATGTCAGAGAAGCTTCCAGTAGGATGGTAGTCAACATATGATCGAACTGGTTATTAAAAAGATTATTATTACGAGAGTGGAAATAAGCAATAATAAGGTTCACCGGACAACTAAGTATTTAAATTCATCGAAATAAAAAGTGGTAATCAGTAGTTTGTGCGCTATATTTTGTGCAGATGCGTCTTAAACAGACGTGACAGGACGCAATCAGGATTGTAGCTCCGATTAGGACTCGAGGATGTCAAAGTTAATAGCTCAGTTATGAAACCTTGAGAACCATGGCAGGTACTGACAATGTTGATATTGAATTCGATTTATGATCACAACAGAGGAAATTTTGAACTCAATCTGGCGAGAAATGGTAACCACTGACAAGTGCTTTAAATCAGTTCCATGAAAATATTTGTTCAAAGTAAAGGAAGACCAGCAGTTAAAGCAGCAGAAGCCACGTGTAAGCATGTGCGAGGACATATTATCTCATACTCTGCAAAACGATCTGTTGAATTTTAAGTTAATCGTTTATCTCACCTTTTTATTATTGTCACATTTGGCGCAAGTTTTCCCTTCTGCATGGCGACACCATTTGGCAGGCTTCGTTATCGAAAAAATGCTGTGGTCGCCTTTACTTGCTTTGCTTACTTCTCTTTTGGCTTTACGTTTCTCGTCCATGACGGAATAGATGCTTTTACTCGTACTTGGTCGGATCATCTGTCGGGATTCAATTCTCTGGCTTTCAGGAGTCGATGCTGAGCCTGACCCTGAGGATAATCTGAAAACAGGGAAGCTTATCAATATTGAATCTAATCGAGGACTTAAAGAAGCACTATACAAATAAACCGTCAATGGCTTGAACTATTGAAATATGACTACTGCTGTAAAATTGGATATTTTTCCCGTTAATGGTGTAATTATTCCCTTTAAATATTATTCCCGTTAATTGCATACTTATTCCCGTTGAATATTATTCCCGTTAATTGCGTAAAAGGCGGTTAACATTTTTCAATCCTTACACGAAAAATAACATTGATTGATGATACTGCGTTTGAATGAGTATTTCGTCACTATCATCTGGGTGTAGATTTGAAGCAAATATGCAATAGGAGTTTAGGAAACCTATGAAGGTTGAGAATTTGTCTTAATAATAACAAACGAGCACCCACTTGCTATTGTCGTCGGTGGGAGGTCTTAGGGGCAGGTGACTGGACGTAAACTCGAAGGCTGGGACAGGAACACTAGTGGGGTCGGGAGTAGGGACTCCTTCAATGATAGTTGAGTGGGATCTATCATTGGACGGATTTTCTGGACTTTCTTCTGAGGACCTGGACCTGGAGCTTTCCCTGGACATAGACTTGCTCATTCTAATTTGCGCAGTGCTAGGGATACAGCCTGATGAGTACCTACGTGAGCGGGGAACAAATTCGGCTCGGACGTTGGAAGGGGGACTGTTCTGGTTCGTGTACTTCATGTAGTCAAAAGTAGCTGCAGGTTCCATGAGCTGATGTGAATGTGTTCCATGTGAATGATAATGTCGTTTGTTGAGGTCGTAATCGTGGAACGATGGCACTTGCAGATAATTAGCAGGTGGTATGTTCTGGTATTTGGAGACGGATATTTTACGTCGTTGAGGCAGAGACTGACGACCAAAATTAGCTGAAGACACGGACGCAATGCTATAACGTCTGCTGTTCATTTGGCTGGGGGAAGTTTGTTGCATGGCTTGTACTTGCGGGTAAAGAGTGGATGACATATTGGGAATTTCGTCTTCTTGATATCGTTTAAGGTACCACATGTTGTTGTTAGAGACAGGATAGTCAGGGGGAGGATAGTAGTAGTTAGGAGCAGGGCGATACATGTTGTGCGCTGAAACAGGAGGACTATGAGATCCACTACCGCCCGACGATGCATGGCTGCCAGAAGTCATGTAGAAGTTGTACGGGGAGAGGCCTTGCACCGAAGTGCGACGTTCTCTCCTCGGGTTTCTGGGTGGATTTTGGCCGCGCTGCAATGAGAAAATAATTAAATGTTTTTGCGTAGTAAACTTGCACATGCTTTTACGCACTAAATTGTACATTCATTTACGCGGTAAATTTGTATCAAACACTTAAATTTTGACAGATCAAATAGGAAGATTGAACGCGGAACTTTCCTTTATATAAGAAGGCCAAAGGGTATAAGGAGGTAAGTGGGTTCAACGAAAAATGAAGTAATTTGCTTTTCACTCATCGTCTCATAAAGAAGAAAAATTTCATTAATTGAAAATTAACATTTGTAAATATAATATATAATAATATAAGAAGAAAAATTTCATTAATTGAAAATTAGCCTTTGCTAATATAATGTATAATAATATAATTTATTTATTTATTTATATATATAATCATTTTTACGCACATGCCGCACCCTTTTCGCGTCTAGTCAGCTTGGTCGGGTCATCACACACCACCACCATACATAGTCTTGAACGATCGTCAAGGCATCGGAAGTATACAGCTATCGTGATACTCGTAGATAGCAGCTATTCTATTAGGTAGCGAGTTGCTTGGGGGTAAAATTTTTCTGTTTTATTGCATTTCTCTATTTGTTTTGAAAAGCGCAAGAAAAGACAATTACGTTTGCAGACAGTCTCGGGTAGAAATTCAATCTGCACCGAAACCGAGTAAAATATTGCTCCGCGATTAAAGTAAAAAAAATCTTAAGTAAACTTTGTGCCGTGCCCATATCACTCTATATACGATTAAAGCAATTTCTTATTGATTAGATAAGCGTTTCAGCCGCTTATTAAAAGTTTTCAAACGTATCAGTGATGTTCAAAATCGAAATTTATTGACTCGAGGCGCTTGTCGATATTATAATTGAAAATTTTCTACGAACATAATATGTATGTTCTCTGGGAACCAACAGCGCTAAACTCCGTCCAAAATGACCGGAAATACATGTATAACAATTAGGTATGAAAAGGTTCAATGCAAAACAACTAATTTAAGAACATTCACGAAAAATTTAATGTTCAATGACAAATTTCACCTTCGTCCGATTACTTGAATGGTCGAAGATTTGGTAAATTGTAGATGACGGAACTGACGCTCGATTAATTACCTCGTTATAGGAAACATTTCGGTCGACGTTGTTCTCCATAGGAGCTATCTGGTCAAATTACATACGTCAAGAAAGTTCAATACAACAGTTTTACGCGTTAATTTTGTGATAACTTTACACTAAAGTGAGTTGAAAAGCTTCAAGTGGAAGTTTCCATTTACGAATATGTTGCAGAACATCAATTGTTGAATATGAGTTCAGTACTTCTAGAGTGACATGAATTCATGACATGATACTTCAGGGACATAATTGAGAGACACATTTGTCTGTCACGTTGTCTGTCAAGAGCAGAACAATACACTAAGACTGTGTGAGCACGAAATATGATGCAGGTGCAGGTTGCAACCGTTCAGAGAAAAGTTCTAGCAACAGCTACATCGGCACCGGTCATGAAAGGTGTGGACGGTGTAGAACGCGACAGACTTGGTGTGAGCAGCTTTGCAGCGTGGGAGGTAAGAATGTATTAGCCAACAGGCTTCCCGAGACAGCCTTACACGCCCGCTGTTACGTTTGCTAGTCGTATGACTTCAAAGTACAAGCTAAGGAGGAAGATGGGCAGAGACGAGACTATAGGTTTGGGGAACTGTATTTGGTGGAATCTGGTATACAACTGAGGCATAAAGGCTTGCTGGCCTTACATGACCTACTATTGACGCTATAGTAGTTCTACTTGAATTTGATCCTAATACGTAAGCACGTAACACCCGCGATGCAGTGTCGCGCGGACGCGAAAATTTTACTTTGGTTCGTGCAGCGCTTCCATGGACGCTTAGGGCTGATATTAGACCGATTAGTTCTTATGTCAGTGATTTTGGGCCAATGACACTAGAAGAAATGCCCGAATTGGAAAAGTAATGCAGAAATATTTGAACGGAAAGCTGAAAACATTTCATTTATAGTTATTGTGTAGCGACAATTATTGAATGACCTGAGAATTGCTGAGTGTTTTCGTTTATCACCAAAACCTTTTTGAGAAACCTTAACAAACTTATATTTAAAAAGTAAAAGCTTTTGGCAAAAATTAATAATTTGTAAACATTACACCACTATATAGCCACATAGAAAAAATCGTCCGTACCCTATAAACATGCAGAGATTGCAAAAAGATGAGAGCGTTCAGCAACAGGCGAAGAAGTTCCTTCCCTTGGGTTTTCCCGCGCGGGTAAAGATCAGCAGGCGGTGTAACCTGATCTGTGGCAGCATCGGTCCATACGCGGGGACGGCTTCAGGGGTCTATCCGTGAACAGGTGCCGTGTCAGGGGTCTGTTACCGTGAACAGACGCCGTGTCAGGGGTCTGTTACCGTGAACAAGCGCCGTGTCAGGGGTCTGTTACCGTGAACAGGCGCCGTGTCAGGAGTCTGTTACCGTGTGCAAACGCCATGTTGTTAGGTATTGCAAAAGGATTCGTAAAATTTGTCATTTCAGTTTTGATTAACCACCGATATGACTTGGTAAATGAATGTTTACTAATTTGTCACTGTTGCATGATTGTGGCATTAGTTCAGAAAGGCTTCGAATCTCTAATCCGAAAGTAGAACATGAGCTAAGAACACGCACAGTTTATTTATGTTTTAATTTCTTTTAATAATCGTTTATTAATTACAGTTTCCATTTTGATTTTATTCATTCTTTATTTGCCACTGTCCCCACGACGGTGTCAAAGGTCTGTTACTGAGAGCAAACTTCATGTCAAAGGTTGTGTGTCTCCTAAAATTCACTGAGGTAGTGAATGTTCGGATTGCTGGATAGCTAGCCTACTGCATAAATGTTGTAAGATATTAACACAAGAAAATAGTTGGACATTGATAAACTAACTTCAGTAGGGTCAGCTGGACCCTACGGAGGATGGATAGACGTTCAGAATTGAACGTCTATCAAGATTGTTTGATGCTACAATAGAAATACGCAGCAGTAGATATGAGTATCGACGAGACTTCTCACGAATGCGCGCGTCAATTTGCAGATGTTCCGGCTAGTACGAATATCATGTACTCTGAAACTATATCGCTACCTCAGCTGAAACACACATATTTTTACATCCTCAGCACAAAGATGAACAAAGGTAGCTAGCTTTTCACTAGATAAAAGGGCCTACGATTAGTGGCCACGAATTGCCTGAATTCATGGCCACTTCCAAGTCTCTTTGCGAGTATACGAATCTCCCTTGCCTCTTGCTAAATAGAGTAAGCTTCGTTACGTAGCTCTTAGCCGGATATATTTTTTTTGTAAGGAGGATGGATAGAACCCCATAAATCATTATAGATATTTAGGTTTTCAATGATTTAGATGTAATGCACTACAAATTTCCGACTTGATTTCTGTTCAAATTCCGTTACCATAGATAGGTCCCTATGAATGTTTTAAAGGAAATGCGATCTTAAAATAAATTGGAATGGTAGTACCTGAGATGCTAGTGTAACCGGAAACACCGCCGCGAAGTTGAAATATTTACGGGTAGCGTGCCGACTTGGTATAGACTTTCGTTCTGATCCAAAACACAAGGGCTAAAGAGTCGCTCTTTGGTCCGGCTCTAAATTCCCTTGCGTTGTATGTAGAAAGGAGTAATGAACACGATGAAGTTTTCGTAGTATACTGGTAATTTTCAGGCAAATACAAGTTTCTTCACACAAGGCGCACAATTTGTTGTTCTTCTTAATCCAAAAGTTCGCGGAAAAAGGTTTGACATTTCAGGGGTACAAACAGCCGAAAAACCACACAGTATGAGCCTTAATACACAGCTGCGGATAACAAAATGGATAGCAAATGGCACGGGAACTAACCGCACCGAGATACCACGACCAGCCGCAGAGACTAGGGGTTCTAGCCCTAGTACACCGCGAAATCACAAACGGATAGCAAATGGGAACTACGGGAACTAACCGCACCGAGATGCCGACAACGAACCGCAGAGACTAGGGGTTCTAGCCCTAATACATAATGATTCAAGACAAAAAAATGCATCATTTATTTATTTCTATAATAATTGGTCGCCGTTGATCCCTGTTGGATGTGCACTCCACTACCGGGAGATGTGCAAAAGGCGTGTTCACGTAAAGTTGTCAAGCACAACTCGCTCTGGAAGCTCAAAACTAAAAATAGAAGGAAAATTTACGATGCAAACAGAGCTTGGTATGGGACATCGAAAGGTGAAAAACAAAGACCTTTTCCGGACAACTGTATCAGAAGTATCACCGATACATCGACATCAACGCTTGTAAATAATTGACTCGCCCGTAACAGTAATTATGAATTTGGAAACTGACCAGATTGAGGCATTCACTTAATATAAACTGAGCTTTGGTCACCCGCATTGCAGACGCGCTGTTACTAACCGACGGATGCATAGAGAGGTCAAAACTTGACCGGGCGTTGAGTCAAGATGACGCTACTAAATGTTCAGTCAAAATCTTGCGAATTTTGATTTTACTGAAGAATTTTTTAGCTGGTCTCATTTGTTATACAGCATAGGTTAAAATTCGGGAAGGCACTCACGATAACCTATGAGTAAAGACTGGAATAATCCTCTAACTCTCCCTTACGAGACGTGAGCAAAAGCTTCACCAGCGTGTGTTGTCAACATACAAGCTGTGTTACTAATAATAAATGCAACATAAAAGAACAATGGCAACCCTTATGTGATATCGAAGAAATATTTGACATTTCGAAATAATCCGGGTGCAGAGATAAAAAATGTAAATGGTTGCACACGTGAGATTCTTCAATTTGNGAGACAGCACTGGGGTCGTTAAATTCAGTATAGTAAAGGCAGTTGACCATGAACAATCTTAGCTTGTTCTTCAGCGAGACGCAGGAATTTGCCACATCTCAGGATTGTTCAGCAATAAATATAAAGATGACTTATGTATCTAGCATCTTCTTCAATAGAATTCTACAAGAATTGT